GTCGACTCGACAGCGTCTTTGATTCCTTCCGGTCGCGCCCGACACTTTTACCATTTTCACACATTGGCTCCATGGCGGGCAGCTTTCGTCTTGGTCGCCCGCACGCTACCCACGGCTGTCGTCCTTCTTGTTGCCATTTTGAGGTTGGGGGCTTGACTTGGGGTTACCTTGTAATTCACTTTGTATAGTTAAACTAGCGGCGTTTAAGGTTCCTGCCGGTCATGTTTAATTTAATTTGTAATGAGCTAGATGAATTTTCAAGTTTTGATTTTAAAAATGCTTTAACTAATCCAATGAATTAACGGAAAGCACAATAAATATCACTAAATCGATTTATTTATGAAATATATGTTTTAGTTAAGAATGATAATAGATATTATAATTATTTTGATTATTTATTAAATTCTAAGACAATGGCATTATTATTTTAATACCAATGCATTTTCTCAACTTCCACTGTTGATATGGGAAATATATTTTATTTGGATGTGTAATTCTCAGAATAGTATTTATCAATAATAATAATTCAATATTAAATAAAGATCAGAGATGGAAATAGCGCAAATGAATATCCTCAAGCATCTTGCCACCGGGTTATATTAACAGCGGGATACTCTTTTGCAGGTGAAGCTATTTGCGAAATTAAGATCAGCCGTGCAACATAAATTTTATGCAAAAAGTGTTATAGATTTAGAACTTTCCGTTTTTACCACTTGCTTCCCCCAAACTTCATTCCAGTACAAAAATCCAATATAGACTTTTCACTCTATGAACATGTATAAAAATTATCCGATTATAAGCTGAGTTCAACAGAATAATTGGCTGTTATCTACGGTGCTAAGACAGAAAACGTCAACAAACATAATAATTGTTAATGGTTCTAAAGAGTTGACAAACAGTTCATACATCCATTCACACACACAGACAGACACACACACACACACACATGCACAAGCAGAGCGAAAGATTATGGCAATGTCAATCCGATTAATATTAAGCAGGAAAAACAACAACAAGCACAACATCGACAGTGGCAACAGCTCAGCTTGCATGGAAAAGCCAACTGACATCAATGAGACAGAGGCAAACAGCAGCTTCGGGGCGTTTGCCCAGGACTGGGGTTGGCTTGTAAGGGAAGGGGCGTGGCACGTGCCTTATGACTTATGGCAAAATGGTATTGCTCTTCTTACATTTGTTGTTTTTTTTTTTTCTACTGTCCTGATTGTTGGCAATATTGTTGATCTGATTAAGGGCAGCGACAATGAGCCAGGGGCCTTTGGATCAGTGCGGGTAGGAGCTAGACCTAGAGCCTACAAATAGACTAAACATATTTGCTTTTAACACAGACTGAGATAGACTCAGCTACAGATACAAAGACAGTTACAGATACAGAAACGTAAGTATGTGTCCTTCACAGCTGCAGACAGTGCGCATAAATTATGCTAAATACAATTAAATCGAGTTGTTGCGCTGGCAAATTTACTGAGCAAATGACTGACTGAGTAACTGACAGATTGCCAGACAAAATGCGTGGCTTCAGCTTATTGACAGCGTCTTGGCAGCCAGCAGACTTGGCTCATTAGCCTCAGTTCATACCCTCACCCCGCACCATAATGTGTGTCAAAAGTTGGCATTTGAAGTAATTAAATTTAAATTGGATTCAACAGCCAAGAAATTCGCGCAGAATAAGAAAAATAAAACAACAACGATAACAAGTCAGTACTTACATTTTTGAGTTGCCAAAGATTGAATACTCTTCCTTATAACAATTGAAAGGCGTACAATATATACTATAAGCTGACTCGAAGCTGTGTTAATTTTAACATTAATTATTGACATAGGTTTTTCGAAATGTGTTAAGCAAAATAATTTTACTATATGGAAAAAGTCTAGAAGATAACTGAAGAGATATCTAATATGTATAGCACAACATAAAGACCCGATAATTATCAATATACCTCAGAGTTGAGGTTATCAGTCGATAATTATTTACAGTAAAATTTCTCCCCTGATAATTATAAACTCTTTTTATTATCGTTTAGTCTCTCAAATCTATCAAAATTAACACACATTTTTATAAGCCTTTATTCAGTTATACAGAAGGACAGACAGATATATTTTGCTATTTATACTGACCAAGAATAGATAAAACAAATCCTTTGTCACAAACTCTTTGAGAAAATAGTAATACACTTCGCAAGGGCATCAAAACATGACGACAGGGAGACAAACTTTTTTAATCCTTTGCTCATTTGTTCTTTGGTTGTGCATGAGGCAGGAAAGGTCATATCAATGGTTGAAAGGCTCTCCTTGGCGGGGGCCTGTTACGCAAGGAATGCCTTCTGGGGTGCGTCTGTGCACATTTCCGTATTATTAAAACTTTAAACGAAAAAGTTTTCGTTTATAGTGGATTTTAATAATACGAAATATGTTGACGAGTTTCGTTCTCCACGCAGTCTGAATCAACTGATTTAAATACAATTTGTGGCCAAATAACGCTTAACTTTAGCATTAATGAACCCAATTAAGAGGCTAACCTCTGTAAAGAAAAGTAGTTACATATACAGAAATTATATACTGCTGATCAGGAAATGCCTTTTAACACAAGCTTTTCGTGGAATTGTAGAAAACTTGAATATATTTATTGCTGTCTGTTTTCAGCTTTTGTCACGAAATGTGGTTCGTATAGGCAGATCCACGAGTCCATAAACTATGCTGGAGCCATAGACAGATGTGCGCAGATTTTCTATACTAAATAGCCGCTCAGTTTTGAATCCATCTTGAACGAGCTATTTGCAGTTTAGACATATTAAAGTTAGCTGGATCGGACTACCATCTCTATATATAAAACTGTTTGTCCTGACTGACTGACTGACTGAATGACTGACTGACTGACTGGTGAAACGTTCGTATGTAACTTTTTTGTTTACTATCCGATCGGCCCCAAACTTATTTTCAAAGATCTTTGTTCAAATTCATTTGAGGGGTGTTTCACACTTTAAAATCCATTCCTCCTTGGTGGAAATGGAGGTCAAAGATTTGGTGGGTGACGTTTCGCTCTCAAATTCATTTCCAGAGATCTATAAGAAAAATCATTTGAGACGTGTTTCACACTTTTTGAAGAATTCAAATTTCTTCGGGGGGAACGCGATTTAAGGATTTTTTGGGCGAAGTTGTAAGTTGTGTCCGATTTGCTTCAAACTTATTTTTAAAGCTCTACATAAGAATGTAATGAATACGTGTTTCAGCTATTTGGGAAATTCCACTCGCAACAGTGGTAAATTGGCGGAAAACGTTTATATGAAAGTTGTTTGTTTACCTTCCGATCAGTTTCAAAATCATTTCAAATTTTTTTTAGAACTTTGATTTTATAACATACGTGCCACGGGCAAGGCCGGGTTACACCCGCTAGTATCACATAAATGAGTTATTGTATTAAAAACTACTTTATTTTTCGAGATATCTTTATCGAATGTATCAACACCCGGCATAGTTATGCTGCCTATATTTGATTTGAAACGATTAAGCAACAGACGAAGGTATAATAAAACTTCCATTACAAGCTTCCATTCCGCAGCTCTGTTTTGTGTCTGCAAAGAAATTTAATCTTTCGCTCCCTTGCAGTGCCAAGTGTGACGAAGCACTTCCTGATAAATCATGTGTTTTTATTTACAGCCACATATTCCCTTTACCAAATCAATTGTCTTAAGAGAAGCCATAGAGTGATGAGTGGAAGCTGCGGAGGACAGCCGACAGACGGCAAATGTCATGTCAATTTGTTGTAACTAACCAAACAGATCGTTAGCGAATGCTCACACCTATGCCGTGTGCAGGGCTGGCTGCCCAAGCCCCTTGCCCAGCCGTATAAACATTGCCCGCAATTATAGATATTTTATATAGGGATTACGTTCGCTGCGGTCGATGTCGCTCCAAATGACTCACAATTAAATGCGATCCGCATGAAGAAAAGTAAAGCCTAACTCGCTTGTCTTTGACTGCCACTGGAAGCGAAAGCGAAATTGTTATTTTGCAACATGCAACTGCAGCAACAACTGCAACAACAACCGCCACAGCAACAAGCTTAGCCGCGGCGTCTCGCAATAATTGCGAGCAAATATTACATGTGAGCGTTGAAGTCGCAAAGCCACAGTGGGGCTAATTGAATTTGTATGTTGCAAAAATCATCAATGCTCAACAGATGAGATATTGAACTTTCTGTTCAAAAAGCTTAGAAATGTTTCTTCTCTGTTAGGCTATTATAATGCATTGGGTACTAAGGCTGACAGCCGTTTTTACAATATTTATGGTAGCAAAATATTGGTTGTAAATATATTTTTCTTTTTTTCTTAATTTTTCTTTAATGCAATTTTTCAAAAACTGAATTTCTTGATGAATTTTCTGATGGATTCATTTAACCAACTGCCTCTGTAAAAATTGTAATTCCTGCTTCGCCTCCCACTGTGCGCCGCTAGCTGACAGCGTCAGTGGGGGCTGGCCTCGACTAACTGCATATTATCGAGACAGTCGATGACGATAAAAACTACAGCTACAACTACAACAAAAACAACAACAGCCTAGCTGACATCATAATTATCGATTGCACTGTAGCTGCCGCTGGCTCAAGTAATTATGCCAAAAGCGCGTTTATTATGTGTGCGAGTGTGTGCGTGTGTGTGTGTGGCGAGTAACGAAAGAAAAACCAAAGCATATTTCATTTAAAATGAAAAGTGAAAATGAAACAGAAAAGACGCCAAGGAAATCGATCAGCGCGTTGCCAGCACGCAAAGATAAACAAGGCGAATCATAGATACCCTGCAACTATTTAATATATACATATAATTAGAATTTAGTACTACATCAATTTATGCTAAAAAAGAGGTTTCGTCGATAAGAAATATCGTAATTATTTGAGCTTTGTACAAAATATTTAATTTTTTAATTAAAAACAAAATTTTTAACAATAATTTGAATATAATTTTTGTGAGTATGCGATTTAATTTATGTCATAGCTAAATGCCAGACCAAGACTCCTGACATAGCCAAGAGATGTGCAGCAAGAGTAGAAAAGCGGCTTGTGGCGGTATAAAAAGAAAGAAAATTGCTATAAAAAAAATAGTTGTCTGAGCATTTGCTTATTTAGAGCGGTCCGCGCAGACATGTTTGCGGCGTGTTATGAAATACTTGGTAGCATAATTAAACCAGCTACAACAAGCTGTAATGTACTAACACGAAACCCAAATATTATTTAGATTTTAATTTTGCTTAACGGACTTACAAAATTGTTTCAACGCTGAAAAAAAAATTATATAAAAATAACTATTGTGAAACGATCCAGATGGCAAAATGTAGATGCCTTAGGAAACATCTAGATGATGCAACTTCAATTTCAACTGCAATTTCATATCCGATTGGGATTGAAACAACCAGAACGTCAGCTAATGTGATCGCTTTTGCATCGGCTGAATGTCGTCTCTTTGCCTCTTGCCCATATCAGTTGCGATTAACATATCAATGTTTTCGGTGGCCGCATGCCCATTACTTGCCTCATCATCTCTTTCCACCACCACCTGCAGGCTGTTCCACAGGGCACAGGCCGAGCAGACAGCCACAGCAGCAGCGGTTACCCAGGCGTTGACTGAATAGAGATTATTCCCTTCATTTCTAAACGATTCGTTGTCAGATACAGCGAGTTGATCATCATCCAGCATATTTGATTGCTGCAAAAAACAAAACCAAAATAATAAAATTAGCAGATTATTTTTGAGATATTCAAATTTGAAAACTTTTTTTAGATGTTGTCTATATGTCACTTTTCGAACAGGTTTCCGTATGAGAATATTCAGAACCCGACTAACAGTGCAAATTAAGGACGCGCTCGAAGCAGGCGCGTCAATAGATTTCATCATATCCTCCATAGAATAAATTACAATTGTAAAACAGTTGACGCATTCACTATAGCTTTGAGTATTGACTTTGACGGATGAAGTGCACTGAAAGACCATCGCACGATGGCTAATTGAGAGTTGTATTCATTAGATTGTTACCCCCGTCACCAAAAGATTGGCAAACACGCAATTGGAAGACGGGCAGCGCGAAAGCGAAAGGTGTTGTGGTGGCTGCATATGCTCCAGTTTCCTGCCAGTGACCATTGCCGTTGAATCCGTTCCTGTGACTAGTTTTTGTCGCTGTCATGACATAATGGCATGTCGAGCGCGTTGGCGAATTTGATTGATGGCGCTTCGGCTGTAGCTGGTGGGAGCCGAGCTGAGAGCTTTTAATTGATGGAGTGTCGACCGGTTGCCAAATGTGTTACAAATCAATGGAAATGCAATGCGAAATACACATTTTGTTTGGTTGGCCCGCGCCCGAATGCTTAGCAAATTTGTATTTACAGATTTGCAACAGAGCCCGACTGAGCCCGGACAGCATACTTTTAGCGTATTTATATTTACCTTAGCATTTTCATTATGCCCAAATACTATGCCCAAGCCACATCACAACATGCTGTCACAGCTGTTTGTCGGTCCTCAGTTACAGTCTTCCCATCTTGACCAGTCTTGTTTGCTCTTCGCTTTAACGGCTTTTGACGCTGTCAACAAGGTTCGTGCCAGGTAAACATATTAAGCAGATTATGTAAAAACACGAGATACCCTGAACCCAGCGACCATGTATAGTTTAAGACGCCATAATTTAGAGGGGGGAAAGACCCACCTCGTCCTGATTTTATATTACGTTTTTATTTTTTGCTGCGCCATTCCTTTTATTTTCGCATTTGAACCAAATTCACTTGAAATCGAAGCAGAAACAATTTTAAAATTTGGAATCAATTGAATTTAAACCATATGCAAATCAACGCCTAATAACAATTTGTATCCGTGTCCTCATCCATTTCTTTCTCAACGCCCTAGGGATCGTGCATTTTCAGCCACGAAATATTGCTCGTCATCTTTCGTAGCTTGACCCTCAAGGCGCAACTCGATAGATTCATTTTCTATAGATTTACTTTCGATCGATTCGTTCTCGATCGATTCGTCTTCGGTCTTCGACGTAATTTTCAAATTTCGCAGCTTGACCCACATAGCCCAAGTGGAGTACATCATAACTGCGCCTGCAGTTAGCCAAGCGTTGCCCTCGAACATATCCGCTCCAGCAGTAGTTGTTGCTGGTGCAGGTGCTGCTTCTGCCGGAGTAGCTGGTGCTTCAGCCATTATGAAACTATCGAAAAGAAACAATTTTATTTAATTTTTTGAATAAACTGAGCAAATTGTAACTTACTTAAATTATATTCCCTTTTACGTTTTGTTATTGTCTGTGTGAGCTCTTAGTAACGAATGCGTTAAGAAATAAATAGAATATCGAATAATTTATTTTTTAGATTCGAAATTTTTTAAACCAGCTTCTTTTACAGAATTTATAAATTTCTTTAAAGTTTTGTGTTGCTTTGAGATCGAAGTGTTGAATGAGAATGATGAAAATTCCCAATTCAATTCAAAGGTCGGAAAATTGTTTACAGCCGCCTGCTGAAGTTAATTTATATTTCTACAGTTGTTTTAGAAATAAAATAAGATGAGTGTTTAGTCCGACATGGAGATACTTCTGCTTTCCTCAGTCGCGTAAATTGATAACTGGATCTGATTATTGATTCTTAAAAAATTAGATCTGAACAGGTAGGCAAAAATGACAATCATATACTGACATTTGCAAACAAACTAGGGCACATCGTCATAAAGTGAAATATATTGATTGAAACTTACATGTGGCATACCCTTTTTTTTTATGCCCGGGAAATGGTTAACCAGCTGTTTGCAAAAACTATAGGGAATCATTTTGGATCCCATACAGTATATATAAATAAATTCTTGATCCGAACGACGAGACATTTCCGTAAATAAGACGATATCTTACACCCCCAACCTCGTCTTGTGGTACAGTGTACACATTGCCAGCATATTTCACTTCTAGTTGCCTTTTGCCCCCAAACACCCCTTTGTTTTAGGAAAGATGTGCTAAAACAAGTAAGAGTCGGGAGTTCCCGACTAGGGGATACCCTAAATTCTCTGCTAGCCACACCAAATATAGCTCTAGCGAAAAGCTCGTTTATTTTAGCATTAATAAAAATAAACACACAGCACAGACTACAATACAATTTTGATTGCAATGCTGTAGATCTTAGTGGACGATAGAATATTCGTATTTTCAATAAGACAACAGCATTCAAATTTGTGTTTAAATTGGTGTTATTGATTTTAGTTGAGTTGATACTATGGGGCGGAGGCAGAGAATGGCGATAGCTACAGAATGAAAAATTCTTGATTAGCATATACTATTCTAGTTTTGGTGACTAGATCGCCAAATCTACGAGACTTACGATTTCGATTATCGGGAACAAATACGTAGGTTGCTTGATCGACACGTTCATACATACGGACAGACGGGTCCGATATGTTTTTACTCAAGAGTAACATATTGCGAGTTGAAACAGGGGTGTATTTTAAATTCAGTTTATTTGACCCACCCCTTCTAGACAAAAACAAATTTAATTTCTTCTACAGTTTGTTAATTGTCAGTTTATTTTTTCTTGCACCCCACTTGTCATAGTAGCACAAACGACAATTAGGCAACAGCAAATTGTTAAGTGTATGTGAAAGTGTATGTGTGTATTTATGTGCGAGTGGTTATGATTGTAAAGCGTAAAAATTGACTTGCGACCCCCCTAAAATCGCAAGCATTTCAACGCCTCAAAGTGTCTTCCGTGTCTTCTAAATACAATGCGCGCGTGTCTCTATCCCCGTCCATTTGTTTCAATTAACTTTTTTCGCCGCTCGTCATCTTGCGCAGCTTGACCCTCAAGGCGCAACTCTATCGATTCGTTTTCGATCGATTCATCCTCTATCGATTTGTTTTCGATCGATTCGTTCTCGATCGATTCATCTTCGGTCTTCGACGCAATTTTCAAATTTCGCAGCTTGACCCACATAGCCCAAGTGGAGTACATCATAACTGCGCCTGCAGTTAGCCAAGCGTTGCCCTCGAACATATCCGCTCCAGCAGTAGTTGTTGCTGGTGCAGGTGCTGCTTCTGCCGGAGTAACTGGTGCTTCAGCCATTATGAAACTATTGAAAGGTAAGAATTTTTTATTATTTTTAAAGAAATTTTATCAAAATGTTACTTACTTAAATTTTCCTTGTTAGGTTTTGTTATTGTCTGTGAGAGCTCTTTAGAAACTAAAGTGTTAAGAAATAAATCGAAAATCAAATAATTTTTTTTTAGAGTTCGAAATTTTTTAAACTAACGTCTTTTGAAGAATGAAGAATTTGTTACAAATTTCTTAAAAGTTTTGTTGTGTTTTGCAGTTGAAGAGCTGAAATGAGAATGATGAAAATTCCGAATTCAACTCAAAGGTCGTAAAAATTGTTTACTGCCGCCTGCTGGTTAAAAACTGTTCAAGACGAAATACAAATTCGGTATTATTTTCAGACAAAAATACTAAATATTTACATTGTTACTTGTACTTACTTATATATTATCAAGTGAATTTCTATGTTAAATTTAAATGTTGTTTCCTATACGAGCTCTAGTCAACGAATGAAAAGAATTGAGAAAGCAAGTACTAGTCCTCTGAATTTCAATTCATCAGCCTACTGAGTTCAATCTTAACACTAAATTTCGATTAAGTACAATGGAACAAATCGAACCCTAAATATATCAACATTATTAAATAAATTATAGATTATTACATTTTTAGAAGAACATGAATCGCTGCAACTTTCTCAAGACAGTCTTATTGAGGTTTGTAAACAAAGATTTAAAAATATAAACAACTAGTCATATATATATGTTAATGGAGGCGTGCTTCACACTTTTCGCAAAATGTGGGCTTCCTCGATTGAAAATGGTTCTTTGAACATTTTTTTGCATACCATCCGATCGCATTCAAGATCAGTTTAATGATCTTTTTGAACATTCATTTTATATACAGAAGAAACCTGGAAAGTTTATGAAGGTAACTAGGTACGGTCTTCATCTGCCAGTCGGGCACACCCGACCAGTCACTTTTACTTGTTCCGCCAGCAAACGGACTGAGGGCAACAAAAGGCAGAGCGATTCTGGCAGGTTTTGTGCCATGCTGCGGCGAATACTGTAAAACTGCATTGTTTTAATGCATTCGCAATTGCAGGGGCCCAAATTTTTGAGGCGTTGCATTGGGCGTGGTCAGTGAGCGTAAACATTTTGGCAGTGGCAGTGACAGTGGCCAACAACTGTTCCAAGCGCTGGAGCTGGCAATTGGAGCAGACCCAGCTCAAAGCTCCACTCTCGCCCATTTTCATTGTGCAATTGGAAACTTTGTGTAACAATAAAATTTTGCGCCAGGCTCCAAAAGAAAAAAGAACGCAACGAACAAAGCGCCCAAGGCAGACAAAGTAGAATACAAAAACGAAAGCCAACTTCGCGCTGCAGCCTACTTATGGGCGCTACGACATCGGGGGGAGCATCTGAAGCGCAGCCTGTGTTGGTGCCGGAACAGAGGCCCTAGCTGGAACAGCCGCCGCATTTAACGCTCGGCATCCGTGTTGACTTTCAGCGAGGTAAATTATGCTTGGTGGCACTTTTTCCTTTTTTTTTTTTTTGTACACCCTCTGCCAAGAAATTGGGATGGATGTATGTGCGAGCATTAGGTAGAATAGTAAAAAAGCGTTAAAGGTGGCAATAAAATGCGCTTTGGGAATATGTATCAATAGAAAAGAGATTTTGTAATCACAATAAATATCGTTGAGTATATAAATTTTGCAAGAATTGAAGCTAGGCTATAATAGTTTTTTATTCAAGAAATAAGTTTTTAAACTAATGGGACTTATTCTTAAATTGTTAGCTATTTGATTCTTAAAAGAGTTATATTATTATTATAATTATTAATTATTAAAATCTTCCTCACGTATGCGGCCTATAAGTATACATGCCTTAAAATGGCTAAAAGGCTAATTTTATTATTATTTTAATTGCTTTAATTTTTTTATTATTATTCTTACATTTATTGTTTTTCGGCCTGACTGACCTGACTAAAGCTTATCTTCTTGGAAATAATAAAGCGTATCTTGTACAGGGTATTGCCTAGTCAAGTTTCATGGAAATCCCTTCGCAATTGTAGCATTGTTTTCATTATTTTACTTTCATATTTGTTTTTGTTTGCTTCTGCCGCTGCTGCTGCTGCAAGCCGCGCGGGCTCCTAAACGAAAGAACCGAAACAAATATGGCAATGGGTCGTAGGCAGCTGCAGGCGCCGTGCATTTAATTTATGAACTTTGACCAATGTGCGTTTAATTTATTGAGCTGCCGCCGCTGCTCTCGAGTTGCGAGTTGCGAGTTCAATTAGCAATAGTCAATAAATTAACAACGGGCCACCTTAAAGCCAAAGTCGAAAGTGTAGTGCACGCTGGCGCATTGATGGATTTGTGGCATGTTCGCTGGCAACAGGCTGGCACCATCGATGCACTGGTTTTCATCTTTATTTTTTTGTGGCGGCATTTCGAATTGACGTGCCACATTTTTTACACAGCCCACAAGTACCACCAGACATTAAGAAACGGCCAACAGCTGCCGAGGTTTTCATATTCCCCAGCCATTGAAAATAGGTAACACAATTTGGCAAGTTCTCATGAGCAATGCTTACAATTTGGGCCAAAATATCTCTTCGTTGTTACTATTATTATAAGTCTGGGATATAGTCGAGCAGCGGCAGCTGTTTACTAGCCTAAGATCTAGATCCTCGATTGTCAGTTGGCTAAGTAACTGAATCACGGAGTTTTTCGGAACTTTAGCTAAGCTCTAGTTAAGGGACTTTGTTATATAGATTGCTGCCGTCATGCACACTAGTTTCTACTACAGTTCGACATAGTCGCCCCGTCCAGATTTACAATGTCATTGCATTACTGAGGCACACGCGTGCCTCATTAGCCAATAACAATCATCACCTCGACTGCTACGACCGCTCGGATATCCATTCGATTTATGGCCATTCACTGCTCAACTTTATCTATCTTGCCCCAATGCCCATTTAGTTATCAACTTTGCTCGCATTTCGCATTAGGGCTACCAAGTTTTTGGGGGCACAACACGAAACACGGAAGGCGCAAAGCACTTTTCGCACGCAGTTTTGGGCCTCGGGGTTGGCTTTTATGGTTTATAGTTGTCTCCGCGTTGTCTCCGCGTCTTTGCCTTGAAAGCGCCATAAATCTTTTTATGATTTTTGTTTGGCGCTGTCTCCGACTCTGAATATGACTGTGACGCATACAAATTTTCGATGCGTGTGCCAATATATACATTTAATTATATATGTATGTACGTATCAACACATACATACGTTGCCAGAATTTATTTAGCTGGCTCAAAAGAGAAAAAAAAAATGGTTAACAAACATTTCGTGGCAGCACGCAACGCCATTTTGGCGACTGCCATCACGAGCACCGCACGCGATACGAACACATACTACTGTGCAGCAGAGTTGGGAGCCCCGAGCCCGACTCCGGCTGGGATTTGCCAACCATGGCGCCGGCAAAAGACAGCAGCAGCGATGACGCTGACGAGCGCGCCACAGTTGGTTTGGGTTTGGCATAAGGCAGGCGCCAGCAAAGTTGTAAAATCGCCAAATGGCTTATAAAACCAAACCAAAAAAAATGCTGGAATTGTTTTCCTTGGGCCAATACCCTGCAAGGCATAAGGAAGTCAGATCCAGTGCCAGTTGCCATGGCAGAAGGAAGTGCGGTCCAAATACTAATCAAAATAATCCATTCCCTTTCAATATTGTCTTCTGCGGTCATCGCAAAGGTTTTTGGACATAACACCGATACATAAATACTAATAGAATGTTTTGTTTTTTACGATTTCGGACATTCTAGAAGAACCAATTTGTTCTTTTAAATTAACGTTACTAAATTTATAAATTCTCTACGTTATAGACATAAATTTAAGTTTAATATTTTGGTCATTAAATAAATATATATATAAATAAATATATATATTTTTGCTCAGTAACAACAGCCAAGTCCATATTGCTAGGTTCGTTTGTCTCATACTAGTTTACAGAATTTATTTCTTTATAGAAGAAGTTCTATCCAATTCCCGCCCGTGAAAAACGATTCAAATCACCTCCTAGAAGCATCCCACCCGTAAAGATCAATTTAAATCTCTTCGTAGAAACTTCATTCTCTGATCGCATGGAAAACGAAAACAAAAGACATGTAACGCATAGAAGGAGAATCTTCGATCTCAAGTACCCAAGTCCGTCTGTCTGTCCGCCTGCTTGTTTCAATGCAAACTAGTTTTTAAGTTTTACAGCTATCGTTTTGGAACATTATGTGAATCTGTTGCAGACAGAACATATGTCAAAACCGGCCGGATCGGACAACTATGTCATTTAGAAACGATCGGTCTAAAATTAAGTTAAATAACCTTTTTGTTTATCACGATATCTTGATCAACTATTTAAGCTATCCTTCATATATATGTGTCAAGTCTTATCAAGATCGTATGACTATACTATGTAGCACTTAAGGAAGAATCTGGCGAAAAATGAGCAAAATATCCTAGAAAATAGGCACCGATATTACAAAAGCCTTTTTGTGCATGATGATTTGAATTTTCAAATTGAAGGCCTTACAAAAAACTAGCGTACTTAAGAGACATGTAATTAAGGTCAACAAGTAACACAATGTGTGAGTGTGTGTGTGTGTGTGTGTGTGAGTTTTGTTCTTCGTTTTTTTTTTGATAATGATTTTGAAGGTGGTGGACGAGGGGGAGGGAAGGGGTTTGTTCATAATTGCGCGTAAAATGTTGCCAAAAAGTTTTTATAAATTGTATGACATAAGCCAAGGGTAGGCAGGCACAAGCGCCAAAAGGAAGGAAGGAGAAACTGGCACAAATCATTACACACAAGAGCTGCCGGGCGTTGACAGCCGGCACTCCACACACAACCATCACACAGCACACACACGCACACACACAAACACACACTGTCGGTGGCCCAACAACAATGAAAATTAGCGCCGCACTTTATGCAATGCCGTCGAGTCATTAACACATTGACATGGGCGTGCTGTGTGTGTGTGTGTGTGTGTAAGCATTAGTGTCATCAACATTCCCGCCTACACATTAACACACTGGGGGATTCGCACGGGCAGCGCGCTCTTTGGTCTTTAATTGAAATTAGCCGGCTCACAAAAAGACAAAAAAAAACCAAAAGAAAAAATAACGACGCACAATTAATTGCGCATTGCGGGATTCAAAAATGCATTGACGGTAAAACCAGATGAGCCGCTTTTTAATTAACAAAAGGTTGCCGAGGCAATGCTTTAAGTTCTGCCCATGTCATAAATTTACCAGAAATCAAAATTTACTGTCTAGGATGAGGGTGATGCTTTATTAATTTCTTTACAAACAAATAAAGAGCGTATTCATACTTTGATAAATTCAGATAAAGTGTTAAGAGTTCATTTCATCAATTTTTAACTTTAAAAATAAAATTAAAAGAAAAGAAGTAAGGATATGTTCGATACCTTTTGCAGATATGGGAGAATGGCAAAACTATTAAATGCTGACATAATATTTTGCCAAATAAGAACCTTCTTTTTGACCGATCTTGCCTATATGAT